ATATCAAGGAGGTAACACGTACTATTCGGGCAACCAGAATTATCCTAATTTCTCGTATTCCGATCCATACAATGCTCTACAACAACCAATGAGATTTTCGGTGACCAATGGGGTCATCAATGAGCCGAAGAAGCCGACACTGGAAGAAGTGTTCGCCTCGTTCATGAGTACCAAGCAAACATTTATGAATGAGACACAAAAATTTATGAACGAACCGAAGAAGGAGTCATTGGAGGATACGTTCGCCAGGGTCATGAGTAGAACGGAAAAATATATGGAATTAAATGACGTGCGTCTTGCTTCGATTGAGGATCGAATGAAGTTGATTGGGCAGCACTTGGGGCAAATGATCGCGATGGTCGAGAGTCAACAGCAAGAGGGCCAATTTCCAAGTAATACGGAGATCAACCCAGAGGATTGCAAAGCAGAGGATACCAAAGAGACGGGAGATGAAGTCCCGACTGAGGTGAACGAGGTGCATGAGCAAGAAGAAAAGAAACCAATGGTCGAGATGGTTGTAGCTGATTCAAATGAAAAGATGGAGAGGCCGGTTGAGGCGCATGAGGTGGTTGAACTAACGGAGGAGAGTAGTGCACTACTACAAAGCGACCGTCCTATTAAGTGCGAAGATCTCGGTGGATTTTATATCGATTGTGGAGTTGGAGAATTTTATACCGAGAAAGGGCTGTGTGACTTAGAGGCGGGCGTCAACTTGATGCCACTCTCGGTTTTCGAGAAGTTGAGATTGGAGAAGCTTCAATTGACTAGAATCACTCTTCAGATGGCGGATAAATCCCAAGTTCGTCCCATGGAAATTGTAGAGGATGCTTGGTTGACGGTCAATGGAATTAAGTTTCCGGCGGATTTTGTGGTGGTAGACATGAAGGATAACGGTGATACACCGTTGATTTTAGGAAGGTCATTCCTAGCCACCGGACGGGTACTTATTGACGTGGAGCTTAGTGAGATCACGTTTCGAGCCTATGATGAATACCGGACTTTTACACTTGCCCGGGGTTGAAGAATTCAGAAGACAGAAGACGATAGCCGACGCCATGAGAAGATCAAAGAAGAGATTGGGATGAACGGTAATAACTCTTATTGAGAGCTCGAAAGACGTCTAGCTAAAGACGTTAAATTAAGCACTTGTTGAGAGGCAACCCATCATTTATCCTTTTTTTATTTTTTATTTTTATTTATTTTTGTTTTTATTTTTTATTTTTTTAAAAAAAATCTGGAAAAAGAAAAAAAAGAGTGAAAAAAGTCAAAAAAAAAAAGGGTGGCGATCGAGTGTTAGAGCGAAGCATGGAGGAGATGATCGTGTTCAAGGGTGCAAGGATTGCTTACGGTGGAGCTCGCTCGACTTTTCGGTTAGTTGCTAGAGATATGCCGCTTATTTTCTTCAAATTTAATTCTTTTTCAAAGAATAAGTTTGGGGGAGAGAGGTGTCGTATATCTTGAGTTTTTATCGCTTTCTTGCATAGCATGTAGTTGCTTGCATTAATTTTTTTTAGGTAATTTTTATTCTTTTTATGATGCACGTTTATATGCTTTATTAGGTTAGTAATAATTTGGTTGAGTCGAATATTTTTTTCGCATTGTGTTTTGGATGATTGGTGGATAGACGAGAATTGCTTGAAGTTGTTTATCTTAATTAAAATATTGTGATGGTGATCATGAATTATATGCCTTGATAAATAACTTTATTGCTTTGAATCAATGATTTGTTTGCCTTGTGAGGATTTGAGCCTTATTTCATTTCTTGTGTGATTAGTCTAATACTTTGGATACTAGAACTTCCATTGGTTCTTACTTGAAAAATATGATTATGTACGTAAAGTTTTGAAAATGATTTAGGCGGTTTTTGTTATCTATCCCGTTTTATCCCCTTTTATTTTTCCTAAAATTTTATCCTTAGTAACCCATTTGAGCCTTGAGCCTTTTCTTGATAGCCCTTGGGTGATTTTTATTATTTGAAGATGTTGGGGTGAATGGAGCTTGATGTGAGGATGAGCTATGGTGATTTTTTGTTTTGGGAATAATGAGTATGAGATGGGTTATGATATGTTTATGTGGTTTGAGGCATTTGATTGAAAAAATAATAATAATAATAATAATAAAGAGAGCTGGCAAGGTGAATTGTGAGGATTCTATTCCTCTTACTCGTTGATTTGATTTGTCGAGTCATTAGTAATGAGTAATGGGAAACTATTTTAGGACACTTGAATGATCTCCAATGGCTACACCTAGAAAATATTGTCCTTGCGGTTTGTTCTTGTTTGGAAAAAAATTGGTCTCTCAAATAAAATAAAATAAAAAGAGAAAAAAAAAAAGAATAAAAAAAAAGTTGAAAAAGTGATCAATTGCCGAGGTTTGCATATATGGTTTTGTGCTTTATAGAGTTGTCACCAACATCTTCAACCGATTCCTACCGATTTCGATTCCAATAATTAATTCGACCCTATTTCCTATTAAAACTCATATAAAACACCTCATCATAGTTTAATAAAATTAACTAAATACATAATTTGTTATATAATAATTATTTAAATAATAATTAATTATATACCAAACTGCGACGAAATGGACACGAAAATCACTATAAAATGCACGTAAAAATGACGAATGTCAAACACCAACACACAACAACACAAACCCACAAAACACCACTAACAAACTAAGCACACTAAATAAGTAAAAAAACAAATTAAACACACAGTGAAGAACACGCGTGTTTTTCCTACTACACTTGGATGACACGTGTGTAAATTCGGCGACTTTTGGATTTTTCGGTGGATCAAGGATGAAATTGTAACCTTTTTGTAGGCATACGAGACGCTTTTTGGAATTACCATTCGTGGAGGACTATTTTGTTAATTATTGAAATATACAGGACCAGAATTTCATATATCCTTCTTTTTTGTCAGAAATGGTTTGGGTGAAGCGCACTAATATCATCATCGCATGGTCGAGTCGGTGCCACTTAGAAGAGAAACTTTCATTTTCATTGGAGTTGAATTATTTTTATTTAACAGAAAATATGCTTCAACTTCTAACTTCTAAGGACTTGGGACTTCGAATTTTATGGTTATGTTGCCTAGGATTCTCCAGCCTGGGTGGTGCTAAGTGAAGATAGAGACAATGGGAGCTACAAAGCCACTCTCAATTCTCAACCCCAAAACATCCAGTCTGATGACCACCGAAGAACATACGAATCCTAAGGTTTTGAAATTGACTTTGTTCCTGTGAGTTTTTGTGTAAAGTGACTGGCTGCCAAGGGGTTATGCGCAATTCTTATGCATCTTTTTCTGGTTTTTGCAATATACTGAGCATTGTTGCTATCATCTCATTGAAGAATGATGTCTTGGAGTATAATTTCTTTTTTACATGTTAAGTGTTTTTAGTTTATAATGTTATATAACGCTTTCGCTTGATTATCGATTAAATTGAGGCCCACAGTCCGTACACAAGTAATCCGACTAGTGTGTGTATATATATATAATAGGTAAAAAAATTAATTTAATTTATCCATCTATGCGATATTGTATAGTAATGTGAGCGTTTACATGATTACATCATCCCCGAATTGAGCTAATTGCTCAGTCTAATTGAGGGTTGAGCCGAAAAATTCGATGCTACCCATGTGGACAGTGTCCACATGAGATTTTTAACCATTGATTTCACACATCCATGTGAGTGTGTGTGTGTGTCTGTGTGTTTATGTGTATATCAATGGTAAAAAACTCATGTGGGCACTGCCCACATGGGATCCAAACTTCCGGCTGAGCCTGTGATTTTGTATAGGTGTGAGCATTTCACCATCATCCGCGAATTCAGCTAACCTTTGCCCAATCCAATTGTGTGCGTGACGCCATAGATTTTTTGGCTCACTCGATTGTGAGGAATCCTTGGCTCGACTTGTGCTCTAACCAATTTGAATTTGGTACTTCAATGTTCATTGGGTACGGACATAGGTTTTCTCACAATCAATTTACAAATTGAATGATTTCCAAATATTTTTATATAAAATATTTTCAATAGTAAAATTTATAGATGCAAACATCTATCATTAAATATATTAATAATTTGGAACATTCACATAAAAAAGAATTAACATATAAGAATTTCAACAAGAACGATTGTTACGAATATGCTTATCATTATAAACTTATTAGTAATACAAAATGTGCAAAATATCATTAAATACACTTATTAGTAATATAAAAGGTGGGAAAATATTCTTAACACGATTAGTAATATAAAAGGTGGACAAATATTCTTACTCTAATTCATACAAACTACATATTAATGAGAATACACTCAATTATCTATAATACTAAAGAAGAAAATTTATAAATTAAGTAAAAATGTTTTACCACCTGTTATATTTTCCCACCTTCTATGTTACTAATGAGTGTTGGGGGAAAAAAAATTCATTCTGAAACACTGGCATTCGTGATATCAAAACTCATGTCATCTGAAGTATGAAACAATTAACTCCAACAATTATAAACAATTAACTCCAACGATTATAAAAAACTCTTTTTCTTTTTTTTTATTATATATATATAAACATGAACAAAAAACAATACACATAAATGCAAAGTGTGGAGCAAACAAGCAGAGCCAAGCCCAAGATCAGCTTTATCTAGCCAAGCTTGTTAACTAAAAGAACTGATGAACGAACTCGAGCCAGCTTGTTTATCAATATTAACAAACTTGGTTCAAACTTTAAAGCCAAACTCAAGCCGAGCTATTGAAAATTACATCAAAATTTCTATTTGTGTGTTGAACTAAGTCGAGCCCAAGAGTGGCCTGCAACAGCTCTATATGCAACCTAACTAATACTATGCCATACAGGTATGTGTTACAACTTTCGTCATAATCATATTCCAGTAATGCCAAACAATATTATTTTCCTAAAAGAATAACCATAGTTGAACATTATGATCACAAATCAATTAACAACTACTCATAAAGACATCAAGCATTTACAATTCATGGTGCCACTTCATATACACAGAACAATAATCACTATTGTATCCTCAAAGTACAATGCTGTTAAAGGTTTCCCATAAGAAAATACAAACCAATTTGGGAAACAGATTAGCCGATAAAATATATTGTTGTTCTTCCAATCTAAATACAATACAAACTGGAGAAAAATATTTTTATATAAAACCAAGTAAAGACACTTTAGAGAAAAGTGAAACCTTATCAAACTACTAAAATCAATCACTGACATAAGTGGCAAAAAGCAGCAGAGCTGTGAGCTGTTAACTGGGCGGATATCAGTAGAGCAGTTAAACAAATGAGCCGCTAGTGAGCTCGACTCTATTCATTAAGACTCAATCAGTTACTAGCTCAGTTTACCAAGGCTGTTGGGTTTGCAAAATAAAAGTTTTTCCACAATGCCTAAACTTATAGCTTAATTAAGCTTGATAAGTCTCACTAACTAAGCAAGCTCGAGCTTGTTAACTTAACAAGCTCGAGCTTGTTAACTTAACAAGCTCGAGCTTGAGCTCAAGTATCATGGGCTTGAACTCAGCCTGGCCTCTTAGGAGCTGTCAACCCTCAAATAACATCACAAAGGCTAAAATTAACAGATGAAACCGAGAACAAAAGCACTAAAAAATCATTTCATATAAAATAAAACTCACGCATAGACCATAAGGTCTCACGAGTGAGCAGCAAACACAATCAAGAACCAAGGAGTAAAGAAACTTCCAACACACTAATCACAAGTCTCAAAAATTCCCAAGATGAGCAAAATATTAAATAAAACAGCCATTATCCATTTTCAGAACATCATCCGAAGGCTCATACTAACCGAATCAAAAATAAAAGGAAAATCAACCTCGAACCATCTCAGTACCTCCTGCCGCCGCCGCCTCCACGGCCGTAGCCCAGCTGAGGCACGACGCTGATCGGGCCCTGGTCCTCCTTGAGCACGACGCCCGGCAGATCCTTCATCCCGAGGGACTCCAGCAGATCTATGGTCTCCTGGTCAACCTCGATGTGGTCGACTTTGATGGCGGACTCCTCCGGCACGAAGTCCATGCGGCGCTCGCGCTCCTCCTCCTGCAGCTTGAGGGAGATGCCCCGGACGGGCCCCTTCTGGATCCGCTTCATGAGGTGGGTCGAGAAACCGGCGATCTTGTTGCGGAGGCGCTTCGAGGGGATGATGGCGACCTCCTCGAGGATCTTCTTGTTGGTGTGGAAATCAAGGGTCATCTTCGAGTAGTACCGCTCGATGACCAGGCGGGAGGACTTCTTCACGGTCTTAGTGCGGACGCGGCCCATTTCCGGCGGTGGTTGCGACTGACGGCGGGAGGGATTAAGGGGAAAAGGGGAGGAGGCTTTTGCTGCTGATAGCTAGGGTTTGGATTGGAGGGTGAAAGTGAGGGGTTTGTGAATTTATATGCTTGAATTTGGTTTGAGAGCATCCCTAGGGTTTAACTGGGCCCATTTTTGTAGTGCATATTAAAATGGGCCACTTTTCTTTTGTGTAAGCGGGACTGATAGGTCCAATATTAATTTTGTCCAAATAGTTATGGTTTCAGCTACTAGATTGCAACTTTGGGCCAATGCAGTAATTTTGGTGTGCAATTCACATTTATGTTCCATTTACATGTATATTACAGTTTTTTATAAAAAAAATTATACACAAACATTCAAAATAAAATCATACGATCTTATTTGGCAATTAACAAATAGCGGATAGTTAATGTATTGCAACTTTCTCAATATTAGCATTTAACAAATAGCGGATAGTTGATGTATTGCAACTTTCTCAATATCAGCGTTGTGGGTTGAAAAAACTACGTAAATAAATTCATTACCAAACAAGCTAACTAGCTAGTTTGATTGATCATTCCTCAACATCTATATGTGACGAATCCTACATAAACTACTTATCAATGAGTCAAAACTTGTAAGCCGAAAAACAGTGCAATTTAGAAATTAATAACAAAAATAAACTTTTAGTCAATCATCCAAATAACGTAAAAGTTGTTACAATTCTAATTTAAAATAACAAGTTATTAAACATACAAATAAAAATATATTTGTATGTAAATATCTTAATTTTTTTATTCAACCTCAAGACAATTGGGACATTAACTAATGATCAGTTTTACTGTTTTGGTGATCGCTAGGTAACTTATTATGTTTATGCCAATGGAAAAAGTCACTCATAGAAACAATAATATATGAACTTTTTTGAAGATTATTGTAGAAGTCAATTGTATTTTCAAACCACTTATTAATATAAAAATTGGACTATTCAAAAAGTGTAAAACTTTTTTAACGATGAGAGGTAACTTAGACTTACCTTATCGGTGACCCAACCCAATGGGTCACTAGGAAAAAGTCAAAAAAAGGCAAAAAAAAAAAGGAAAAAAAGAAGATAATAAGCGACCCAGGTCAGATGGTGACCTTGGGTCGCAACCGAGCCGCAAGCCACTTTTTTGCTTTCTTTTTTTTTTATTCCATTATTGTTTTGAGTTTGGATTCATTTTGTTATCTTTTTTTATTTTTTATTTTTTTTATTCAATTATTGGATAAGGCATGGACACATGTCTCTTTTTAAGTGGAAGCAATAATTTTATTTTGATAAGATAAGATAACTTAATAATTGAGTTTATTTATATATTAAAAAATAAAATAAAAAATATCAAAATTCGTATTTTTTCATTCTCTATAAATAGAGACCACTCTTGATATGTTTTAGATCACAACTGAAATTTCTCTCTTTTCACCCTCTTCTTAATCATACCTTATTAATTTTATCATCTCTTTTATTTCTCTTAATTTCCAACAAATACCATATGGATCCAAATTTTGAGTATTACCTCAATTCTCAAAATTTGTCAAACTCCAAAAATTTTCAGAATTTCGAAAATTATTCACAAGAGCCATTTTCTCCTAATCTTACCCAATTTCCAGTTTCTGTAAATGCCCAACCCCCACAAAACATCTCCCGAAATTTATTTCAAAATGTGTAACAGATACGCACAAATCCTCAAAAAGGAACGAAAAATGTTAGTTGGAGTGTGGCGGAAGATCTTGCTCTAATGTCAGTTTGGTGTTTCGTTAGCGAAGACAAACTGTGTGGCAAGAATCAAAAGGGTTCTTCATTATGGTCACGCATAGCTCAAATGTTTGAGCAATCTCGAATGGAAAATCCAGAAGAAATTGTTGAAAGAAACTTGGATTCAATGAAAGGTCGTTATAAACGCCTTAATGAAAATGTAAACAAGTGGAGAGGTGCTTACATGGAAGCATACATAAATAAAAGGAGCGGAATGAGCATGAAAGATGTTGAAGAAGAAGCTCATGTAATTTATGAAGCTGGTGGTAGCAAGTTTACAGACTTGCATGTGTTTGAAGAAGTCATGCGAAAGCATCCCAAATGGGAATTAAAATTAGATCGTGATTCAACTCGTTCGCGCCCTGAAGATGAAGCGAGTAATGAAGAAAACCATGGCAGTTCCAAAAGATCAAGGACTACTGAAGATGGAGATTATTCAATTCCCTCAAATCAAGAAACTCCAGTTAGTGATGAATTTGTGATTCCCCGACCCGAAGGTAGAGATACGGCGAAAAAAAAAAATAAAAAAGGTAGCATCACAATCTTCTTCCATCCTGATGAGTTCACTGCAGAAATTCGTGTACTAAGACTTACAAGAAAGAACGAATGTATTTAATGACAAAAATATCGAACGATAGGATGGAGTTGGAACGCAAGAAAGAAGAAAGGAAGATTAGGAAAATGAATATGATGGTGTTGAATACGCTGTTGGCAAAAGACCACTTATCGCCGGAAGATGAAGAGATGAGACGTCACTTAACTTCAATTTTATTTGGAAAGTCGATGTAATTTATTATCATGCAACTTTCATTTATGTCGTTTTAATTATTCTGATGTAAGCTTTTCAATTCCTATAATTCAAGTTATTCAATAAAAGTCCATTTAGTAAGTTTTTTTCTCTAATATTTTTCAGTAATCACATGTTACTTCAATGATTGTCCTATCCACTAGTATAATAGTCACATATAAAAAGAATGACCAAGAGCTATTTGGAATATAGTGTATGAGTTATTACTATCAAATAGCAGCTTTATTTTGTCTTCCAAAATTCACATGCATTGAATCCGGATCAAATAGCAGCTTTATTCAATAAAATTTACATTCATTTAATGCACATGCAGCTTTTATTTATTTTACTTTACTTTTGCTTTTACTTTACTTTACTTTTCATTATATTAACTTTACTTTACTTTTCTTTTACATTTACTTTAATTTTATTTTAAGTTAAATCTACACCAACTCTTCATACTACATTCCTATATAACATGGTTGGATTCAGATCAAGTTGATATCAAAATCAGATCATATCTATTTTCTTTATATCAATTATAACTTTGTTTTTTCGCAAGACAATTCATTCTTGTTCAGAAATATCTTCGACTAAAAACTCATCTGAAAATTCAAGTTTTAGTTGTGGAGCTTCCAATTTCATCGAATTTGATGAATGGGAAGAACGAGTGATTCAACAAAATCAACAATTTGATCGTATTATGGAAGATTTGATTGTTCGTATTCCAAATATGGTCTTACAACCAACAAATCCCGTTTCTAGAGGTAGAAGGCAAGTCATTGAGAGGCAACGAGAGAGAGGAGAGGCGAATGTGTTTAATGACTACTTCTCCGACAATCCAACCTATCCTGAAGAGGTATTTCGTCGGAGATTTCGCATGCGTAAGAATCTTTTTCTTCGTATAGTTAGCGAAATCACCACCAACGATGAATATTTTCAACAAAGGCGTGATGCCACTAGTAGGCTGGGCATTTCACCATTGCAGAAATGTACTGCAGCCATAAGGGTGTTGGCCTATGGAACATCAGCGGATGCTGTTGATGAATACTTGCGAATAAGTGAAGTTGTAACGAGGGAATCTCTCATGAAATTCGTAGAAGGCGTCATTTCTAACTTCGGCGGCCAATACCTCAGAAGACCTAATGAACAAGATTTGGCAAGAATACTTCATGCGGGGGAGCAACGTGGATTCCCAGGAATGATGGGAAGTACTGACTGCGTGCATTGGGGTTGGAAAAATTGTCCTACAGCATGGGCTGGGCAATATGCAGGAAGAAGTGGAAAACCAACAATTATTTTGGAAGCTGTTGCATCATATGACTTATAGATATTGCATGCGTTTATTGGAACACCAGGTTCGTGCAATGATATCAATGTACTTCACCAATCTCCTGTTTTTGATGATATTTTGGAAGGTCGTGCACCAGAAATTAGCTACGTTGTGAATGGTCAACAAAGAAATATGGGATATTACCTCACTGATGGTATATATCCTTTATGGGCTACATTTGTTAAATCAATTACTTCCCCGCAACTTCGAAAGCACAAATTATTTGCTCAGCACCAAGAGGCGGCTAGAAAAGATGTTGAGCGTGCATTTGGTGTTCTACAAGCTCGTTTTGCATTTATCAAACGACCATGTCTAGTATGGGATCGTTTTTTTATGGGAAGAATTATGATTGTTTGTATCATCATGCACAATATGATAGTAGAAGATGAACGGGACGCCTACTTGAATTATTATGATCCTACAGAATTTATGAACGAGAGGCCTACAAACGGACGAAGGAAACAAAGAAGGAACAGAAGAAATGGCGTAGAAGAAGAGGAAGATGATATGCCTTTTTAATACTCGACTGAAAGAATCACAAACCTATCTACGTATATGACCAATAGGTCACAACTCCGTAATAGAGAAGCTCACGTGACTTTGAAAAATGACTTGATTGAGCACATATGGGGAAAATTTGGCAATCGTAGTTGATGTGTACTTTCATTTGAAATGTTTGTAACTTGTTTAGTTTATTTTCATACCGAATTATGCAATTTCAATTTTTAATTATGTTTGTAATATTTTTTTTAGTTGTATTTTAAAATATTAATTTTTTAAAATCAATATTTTTAATTATAATTTTTTTAATTAATTTATCACAACTAAAAAAATAACAAAAAATTGATTGTAGATAATATTTAATAAATAAAAATAAAATAAATAGTATGTTGGGTTGGATTGGGTAGGGTTAGGGATAAAGATATGTAGGTTGTTAAAAGTTGAGTTGTGTAGGTGGAGGAGAGAAAAATAATTTTTTATTATTGGGTTGGGTTGGGGGTAAAGATAGTCTTATTATGTTTATGCCAATGGAAAAAGTCGCTCATAAAAACAGTTCATTTTGTAAGAACTAAATAATATATGAACTTTTTTGAAGATTGTTGTAGAAGTCAATTGTATTTTCAAACCACTTACTAGTATAAAAATTGGTAAAAAAATTTTAACGATACGATCACTAATGCACGTAAGACTTTTTTTTTTTTTTATTTATTTATCGAAATGATAGATTCTATAACTCAGAAAAAAGGTACACACAGGATTGACTAAGAAGTAAGAACTAAGAAGCCATACAATCATCCCAAAATAGAGAAATAGAGGAACACACCCAAAGTTCCTCGAACAACCACTTGCAATAGAATTAATTAGTGACAGGACCTCTAACCACTAAGTTGTCGGGTACATCCGTTGGAAGCATAGACCGTTAATTTGCATGGAGATTCGAGCCGTGATCATTAGATATTAAATGAAACTGTATTAAAATAAAAGAGATTATACTATATAAATAGGTGAGGATTTTACTGACTTTTTATAAGATAGTAAATAACGAAGAAAATGGCCGAAAATCAATTTAGTTCGACAGCCAATTAACCGCAAATAATTTTTCTTTCTTTTCTTCGAACATATTTTTCGTTGCTATAATTTCACGTAGTAATATTACATTTTTCAAAATTAATTATATTTAAAAAAAACTCATTTTAAGCTAATATATTTGTATCCTACCAAGCATACAAATTTTACAAAATGAAAAAGATGGATGACATTTGCTACCCACAAACCCAATAGAGAATCTGAATCCTCACATCAGGTGGCCCAAAATGGAACTCCGAATCTTCTCATGGATTTATCTCTCTCTATTCATCATCCTTTCCAATTTCTCATCGACCCGCCATGGCATACGGGCTCTGAAAACAGAGTCCCTGACGCGGGAGCTCCTTGAATCGGCCCGGGATGCCGAGTTTTTCGAGTGGCTTAAAAGGATCCGGAGGAAAATCCACGAGTACCCGGAGCTGGCATTTGAAGAGCACCGAACGAGTCAACTCATCAGAAGCGAGCTCGACTCGCTGGGGATTGAGTACGAGTGGCCGCTCGCTAAAACGGGGGTGTTGGCCACTGTTGGATCCGGGTCTCAGCCATGGTTCGCACTCAGAGCCGACATGGATGCTCTACCTATCCAGGTACAAATTGTTGTCTTTATTGTAATTTTATGTATTTTTCCTGTAATTCTTTTTAGGAATTCCTTTTGCTTTTTGAGTTTTTTTGGTGTGTGCAATTTGCTTATGAAGGCTCTAGGTTTAGACTATTAGTGGGGCTAATTTAATTGACGTAGGCCTGTTTGCCTTCGATTTGGTTATTGTTCGTGGCTGGATTGTACATCATGTGTTTGTTTCTTGGAAGTCTACCTTAAAACTAGGGAATATTAGTATACGTTTTGAATTTGGAGGGAATTATACTGCCGAGAAGCTTTGCGCTTGTAGAAAGTGTAAAACAGGATAAGAACTACAGAAGCACCATTTTCTGGTTCTCACTGTTTCCGTATAGTGATAAGGTGATAATAGAATCGGGCGAAGAAAAAAGCTGGTATCTGCACTAAAATATGATCTTTCTTGGGCCGAAAGTGAGTGATTTTTTATTATTTGTGTTATACTTCATATGAAAAGCTAGATTCAACTGAGAGCTGAATTGTGTAAATTGATGTGGACAATGTCTCGTTTGATAGAGGGACTCTCTCTCTCCCTCTGATTGATATGGGAAATTAATTAATTGACATTTTGATTTTTGCATATGAAGCACCTTTTCCTTGAATCAAACTCAAGAAAAAAGCATTTATGAAGTTGTGACCATACTCGCCTCATCCTCTTCTAAGTTTTAGTGTGTTTGTATAAGATAAGTTGTGTAGTATTTGTGATCCTTTTCCTAGACATATCACATTCCTGTGTTTGATCTCTTTCCAAATGGTACAAAACTCATGTTTTCTACCTGCCCGTAAATTTCATTTACTGTGTGCCCTTTTAACCAATCCTATGTGCAATCAAAATTTGTAGGAATTAGTAGAATGGGAACACAAGAGCAAAATCGATGGCAAAATGCACGCCTGCGGTCACGATGCTCATGTGACAATGTTGCTTGGGGCAGCCAGATTATTACACAAAAACCGTGATAAACTAAAGGTAAAACCAATTATGTTAAATTTACAGACTGTTCACATTGTTATGTTGTGTTTTTCAGGTGATTTTAGTTCCTAATACTCTATTCTGTACTTCATAACAGGGCACGGTTAAATTTGTTTTCCAACCTGCGGAAGAGGGTTTTGCTGGGGCCCACTACATGATAAAAGACGGAGTTCTAAACGGGGTTGAGGCTATATTTGGCTTGCACGTCGACCCAAAAATGCCCACCGGTACTCTCATCTCGAAACCTGGTCCACTTATGGCTGGATCAGCTAGGTTTCATGTAGTTATTCAAGGAAAAGGTGGGCATGCTGCTCTCCCACATAGAACCCACGATCCTGTTCTTGCTCTCTCCATGGCTATCATTGCACTCCAACATATTGTTTCGCGAGAAACGGACCCTCTTGAGCCGAGAGTACCTTTTTTTTTTCTTTTTTCTTTTTTCATTTTTCTCTTGTTCATTCTCTTTCAAATTTCTCCTCTTTGTTGTTATTGTGTAGGAATTTTTTTGTTAATTATTATTTTAATTGTGGTAGGTTGTGTCGATTGGATACGTACATGGTGGTGAAGCTTTCAATGTAATCCCTGAGACTGTCGAATTCGGTGGGACTTTCCGATTTATGAGCTCCGAGAGTTACTCCTACCTTAAGCAAAGGATTAAAGAGGTATATATATCTCTTCCAAAATGTTTTTTGCTGATGAAAAGGATTAATGCAAGAATGAATCAAACTTCAAACAGATTTCTAGTTTGATAAAATGTTAGAGATAGTTTTCTTCTTCTTGTTCGTTTTCTTTTCCTGCACGAAAGTCTTTGTCGTTCTACGAAGTTCTTTTATCCATCTTCATATTCATTAGTTTTACATGGACCTCTCATACATGATCATGCCTCTCTCTCTCTATATGGGTCAATAATTCATGGCGCGAAATCACAGGTGATAGAAACTCAAGCAGCGGTCCACCAGTGTTCGGCACTGGTCGACTTCATGGAGGACAAGCTGATTTCCTTCCCGCCAACTGTCAACCACCCGTCGATTTACGAACACGCCAAGAGAGTCGGAGGCCGCCTGCTGGGGGAGGACAGCGTGAAACTCCACCCGATGACAATGGGAGCCGAGGACTTCAGTTTTTATGCCGCGAAAATACCGGCGGCCTTCTTCATGATAGGGACGGGAAACGAGACCACCATGAGGTCAGTGAAAGGGTGGCATTCGCCCCACTTTTTGATCGACGAGGATGTCCTCCCTATCGGGGCTTCCCTTCATGCGGCGGTCGCAATTTCCTACTTTGATGATCGTGCTACGGTTTGATTATTTTTGTTTTTTATGTTTTCCAGTTCAAATAAGTTGTTCGCATGTTAAAAATCTGTTTTGATCGTGCTGTGGTTTCAAGATCCGTTGTTTGGGTCGTAGATCTTGTGGTTTCTTTCAGTAGTTCGCGTTAGGTTAGGTGTTGATTCGGGATGTGGTAGTGCTGGGATCTCCGTCCGGTGGGGAGGGCATTAGTCTTTTCTCGGTTTTAGCTTTTGTTTGTTTCGTTTTTGTTTAGGTGTGTTTTTCACTTTTTTGTGTTTTAGTTGTTTCGTTTGTCTTTTATCCTCTTCTCCCCTGTTGGGAATATGTTTGGTGTATTCTTTTGTTGGGAGCTTTTGTTTTATTCTCCTTTTAGGAGTTTTTTAGGTGTGTTTTGGTTGTAGGTTGACTAGGCTGCCATCTGTCTGTACGTATAGTCCTCCTTACTAGAGTCAGCTGTTCAGCTTATTTAGCCATTGACTGTATATTCGGTTGAGTAGCTGTTCTCTAGTCTCGTTTGTGTTGTGAATAAAAGCGCTTCCTATCGTTCCGAAAAAAAAAAAAGAGGTTAAATTGGTTGGATTACCGGTTGGACCGGCCCACGAAATCCCAATTGCAATACTACTTTAGAGTATTTTATTTTTATTTTTTGACCTTGTATATTATTTTGAAGTTATTGAATTTACTAATTTTTAATTACGTTAAAATTATTATAATAATGTATATTATAAATATTTTGAATATTTTTGCTAATCTAATAATGAATATGACAGTTCGACACCGGTTGATTTTTATAATTTATAATAATATACATTATAAATATTTTGATTTTTTAATCTATGCTAAGAATTTACATCGTTGTTCGATTGATTACTTGTTGGTTTATAATTATAATTTATAACATTATAAATTATAAACATTCTATTTTGTCTTTCTAAATTGATAATTTAACTAGATAGCTGGACATAATCTATTGGTTTGTAATCATAATTTGTAATAATATATAATATAAATATTTTGACTTTTCTTTCTATTTGTTGTTCAACGGGTTTGGTCAACCTAGATTATAAAGTTTTATATGGATTATCGATCATTAAGGCAGTTAAAATCAGACTCGAATGGAGAATTTGCGTAAAAATGGATTTAATCGAGGTCGGACCTTTTGGCCATATGAGGTTGGATGTCTTCTCAAATGTGGTAGTTAATATGTCTGTGTTACAGTGTATTTAATTGACCTCCAAAATTCAGTCCTTAAAGTGGATTCATAGGGCCATTTATACTAAGCATGCCAGACTATTATTCATCAGGTTACACCAATTTAATGTTGAATGACAAGCATTTAATGTTAATATGCTATGCTAGGAGTCTAGGGGAGCATAGGCCTGGCGACGTGCCAGTCTCATTGGCCATCATTTGGCTGCATGCACGTTGGACTATTATAATTTTTTTTTTTACCTTTGAGTGTTGAGTGTTCTGGGAACTCCGGATCGTATGTGAGTTGTTTACTTTATGGTTTGTCTCTGTTTCCACAAGACCAACCTGGACCTATCGAGCAGAAAATTCAACCCGAATTACCATCACTTGTATGACCAATTCTCTTGCCTCCTGACATGTTGGGGTGTTGAGATCGGAACTCCGTTATGCACTCTTGGACACATTGCTGTTCGGGCGAGAATCTGACTTGCGACCCTATTTTACACGGGGTTCCACTTGGACCCATAGTTTCTATCCGAGCTCCCTTGCTTCCCAACTCGGATATCAACACTAACCTTATATAAAAATATGTATTTTTATCTGGCGAATCAAATCTTCTAATCATTAATCTTCACACAAAAAATTATATTTTTCAAAATTGAATGCAATTTTTTATATTAAAGTATATAATAATTAACAGTAGATATAAATGGCAAACATATTATTTAATATCATCATTTTGATAATTTGGAATAATAATTATTATTTCATTTTAATTGAAAATGGGATATAGGAAACAATCAATTGAAAAAATGAAAAATAAGGTAAACTGGTAAAACCGCCCAATAAATTCCCAATTCCTTCGGTGCCAAGAATCGTCTCCGTGGATATAAATAGGAGACTGAGCGGTGAACTTACCTCTTACGGATTCACTGCAAACTTCAAAGTAGCCTGAGGGCCGCCGGACAATCTCTCTTTCTCCAGCTCGGGCCTCAACAAACCCGTGGCCCGTGGTCAGGCCCGCTAAGAGTACCAACTAGAAGCTTGCGAAGGGTTCCGATTTTTCTTCGTTTTTCTTACTGAAGAATTTGGGAATAATCAATTTGTATACAGGTACGCGACTTCAGTTGATTACTGTCGATTGCGGATTTAAGTAGAAGCTGTTCTCTTTTGTAATCGTTGGGTGTTTTGCATTGACTATTTTGCAATTTTGTGATCTTGTACAATGTTTGTGAGATTGNGCCGTAGGCGTAGTCTGCTGAAAGTGTTAATACATTTTATAGTTCTCAAGTGATTGATTATGTGACACCATAGAATCTTTGATTCTGTGCCAGAAACAGTTAAGTGGTTCTTGAATGATTGAGATTGAAACTTGCTAGCGAGTTCAGTAAGAAAAATCAGTTGCCACCATCTTGCTGAGTTGGTTGGCGGAAAATATCCCAATATTGTTGAGCTCCATAATTTGATAAGATTGGTTTAGCAAGTAGTTTCAAATGCCTTTTATTCCTTCTCCCTTAACCTAGCTATTGGGAGGTCATGTAAGAGTATCGATTAGAAAACAGTACGTTTTGATGCATCCGCCAAAAGAGTAGGAATCTCATATTTGGGCTAAGTCCATGAAATGGTTTTAGTGTTGTCAATGAAAGGCGCACCGAGTTGTGTGCAATTTATCAATCTTTGATTTTTAGAGATCTTGGTTGTAAGTGCTGATCCCTCATGTCGAAATTTCGCATCTGAAGATAGTGAACTTCTCTAGACCCGTACTGCTTTTACTTGCTCATGAACGTTCAATATGAAGATTTACTTGAGCCAAATGACAGTGAAGTTATTTGATATTTATGATTTAGTTATTTCAGAAGCCTGGAAACTATTTTTTAGGGAAGATGATACCTTTCTTTAACTTACCCATTTGTTTGTATCTTTCCGTCATCTTCCACGTCTTGTAGCACGATTTTTCTGTAGAAGAAATTTTGAGAAGATTCACATTTTGCAGTTTGTGCCGGATCAAATGCATCCTGATGGAATGTATCCAGTGTTTATGCAGTTATGATTTTTGGCTACAGTTTTGGATATGCCCATCACAAAAGGACAACGATCGATGCTGCCTTGTTTGAAACCATCCGTACCATCGACAAGCAATAATATCTCTTCCCCAGCTTCACAAGGTAATAAATCATCCAACTTTCCAAAACCCTTTTTATAATCACACAAATAAATACCCAAAATCCATATAAAGAGTACCTTAAAGCATAAATCAGTTTTATTTTTTGCTTCTCCACTTGTTGAGCTCATACTAATACTTACACACANTATTCCAGTTCATTCAGGAGACAATACACCTGCATCTAGCGTCCAGCTGTCACCCACCATCAACCTCAACCGTGAATACACTCTCGCCCTCCAAACAAACTCCTACAGCGAAATCCGCAGAACATTCGACCCGAATCCCAACATCCCCGTCTCGACCGGCCACGCTGACCTGGACAACGTCCTCCAGCCGAGCCGCGAGCACGTCCAGGAAGCACTTTCCCAAATCGCCCCTGGCTCCTCCCTCTCCCGTCTTGTCACCGCCTACTTCGAACACAGCGAGCAGACCTCCCGCCTCTGCCTCCACTTGTACCGCGACGTACAACATGTCCGACTCGCGTATTCCCCCGTGCACAACCTCCTCGAACACCTCCCGTTCGACTCCCACTCTTCCCTCTCCCCCTCCCAATGCCAGTTGGCTTTCGAGGCCTTCGTCAATTTCGACCGGCTCGAAAACCCGTTTCTACCCCTCGACTTCGACGCGATCTCGGACCTCAGGCGCCAGCTCGACTATCGATTAAAAAAATCCCGAACTACACTCAACCGAATGCGCCGGTGCTCGGTGGGGTCAGCTGTCTGTCTTATTGCAGTTACTGTGGGAATTGCTGTGTCGGCCGTGGCTATAGGCGCGCATGCTCTCGTGGCACTTGTGGCGGGGCCCGTGTGCCCGCCTGTCGTTTTTCTGCCTAAAAAGGAGTTGGTGAGTTTGAGTCAGCTTGATGCGGCGGCTAAAGGTGCGTACGTGCTGGGGAATGACGTGGACACGATAGAGAGGTTGGTGGCGAGGCTGCAGGCGGCGGTGGAGAACGATAGGTTGCTGGTGAGGTTGGGGGTGGAGAGAGGGCTGGATGGGTACTCGATTCAGGAGGTTTTGAAGCAGCTGGGTAGGAATCGGGCGAGTTTGGTGCAGCAGCTGGAGGATCTCGAGGAGCATGTGTTTCTGTGCTTTGCGGCGATTAATCGGGCGAGGGCGATGCTGCTGCAGGAGATTCGTGGGAGTCAGGAACCTGCGTGAAGGATTGGCATGG